ATTGACGCACTTCTGCCAGACCAGGTTTTTACAATATAATGTTTCTACATCGTCCATCTCACAGTGCATGCCACTGTTTGACGTCCCATCTATTCAGGCTTAGGGTTCTCTTGCGTATCATCCTGTATAGGCATCTGCAAACATCATCTTCTGGCCAAAATTCGCTAGCTTTAACTTTTGCGCATTGTAGATCTAGCAGAGCACTATGGCTGTACCATCGTAGATTGGCGGTTTTTTAGGTTCAAAGAGTAGATATAGATCATTCCCGACCATCTGTTGGTCACCCCAGGTTTCGAATCTCATACCTGCTCTCGCCCCTGGTGCATAGTGCTTGGGGATAAAGTCTCTCATTTGGTTAGTGAAGGCTTTATCTCATTCCCTGTCATCCCTAGATTGGGAACAAAAGCCCCAACCTTGAAGTGTCATGCCCCCATGCTCCCCTACTGGAGAAAGACCAATTTCTCATTTCCCTTCAGTTTTCCTTAATGGGATTACCAGTACTCCATCCAGTTTGGAGAGTGGAGGTTCGAACAAGCCACGTTCTTTGAATTACCGCAACTTAAGTCTCTTTGAAATCATGCCTTGCTTTAACACCCCTGTTTCGCCCCTTTTCTTTAACTGTGTCTGTTGATTGTGCCCGTCCTGCTCTTGGCTAGGTGCGTGTGCATCACGAGGGGCGGGGGTGGGGGGAGGTCGGAAGCGACCTCGGGCGATGGTCAGGATGCGTTGGAAGGCTTCTGCCCATGACAAGTGGGCGGGGGGACCTGAAGTTAGTGTTGTTCTCAGCGTAAGGCTGTTATTCAGGAGAGTTACCAGTTCTACATAGGATTTATCCCAATACTCCTCCCCACCCTGCGGGAGATCTGTTTGTAAATGCTTGACTATCCAGTCCGCAACCACTTGGATTTTCTGATCCAGGCTCATTTCCTGAGGGGGGGCATCTGGGTCATTCGGGCATTCCTCCATCTCTACATCTGGGGGGAGGGGGGTTGTATCCACGTCCATCGACTGTGCCCTAAATGCATCCAAGCAAAAATCTGGGCCTAATGGTCATGTCTGCCATTGTTCGATTGGACGTGGTGGCGGTGGGGGTTGCAACTCTTGTTGGGCATGCCCCCCTTGCCCTCCTTGCTGAGGTTGTGCTCGCAATGGCTGCTGCGTTTTTTGTGTTTGTTATCTTGCCAGTTGTGCTGGCTGAGTCCGCGCCTGCTGCTTCAACCTCACCACCTGGTGGGTCTACATTCGTTGCTCCTGTGGTAAAGATAGAGGTGTCAGCGGTATTTGTGGGGTTGCCTCTTCAGCCTCCTCCTCGGTTGGGCGGCCCCTGGCTGTGTAACCGTTTGAACACCGTGAACGTGCGTTCGCATTCAAATGTGCGTTTGAACGCGGATTGCGCGTTCGCGTTCAAAATTGAATGGCGTTCAATTATTTTTTTATTTTTTTATTTTTATTTTTAAAATCATCTCGATGCCTACAAATAACTTTTTTTTTCTGATTTTTGTTTTATGAGTTATGTGTGATGTGAAGTACATGCCGCTCACTTTTGGAGTCATTTTGCTAAGGCAAAAAAAAATGAAAAATCGCCAAAGATGGCGGTGTCAAATCGTGTTCGCTCACTAATTTCAATTCGTTTTATACTTTATTATTATATTTTCTGTTGTCTATTTTGTTTTCCAATTTGGTAACCGAATTTAGATGTTATGCTCAGGCAAATGTTGTTTATTTGATTTTTCTTCATAACATTTTTTTTTTTGGAATTTTTTGAGTTTTTTTTTTTTTTTCTTCCCCCCCGCGCGAAATTGAACTCCGCGTTCGGTCCCATTCATTGAATGCGCGTTCATTCCGTTCAGTTTCTGAATGGAAAACCCGCGTTCAATGAACGCGCAGTTTCACAGGTCCCTGATTTGCCCCCCCCCCCTCTTCCCTTATCCCTCCCTTCTCAGTTTCTACCACCTGCCTTTTTTCCCATTCTAGGTTGGCTTCTCCCCCCCCCCTCCCAGTTTCTACCACCTGCCTTTGTTCTTGTTCAGTGGTGTTACTCCCCCTAACTCCACTCGTGATCTGTCCTGAAACTGCCGGACATGCTTGTTCTTCCAAGTCCCGTATTGGTTCTTCTGAGTTCTCTCCGGTCTCACTTGTCTCGATATCCAGAAGGGTAAAGGGATTTTCCTTGTCACCGCCCTTATCTCTTATCTCTGCTGGAGTTTCCTTTGTCTTTTCCTTCTTTTTTCGCCCAACTACCTCCCAGGATTGCTTCCTTCCGGCCCCTTGGGGGCAGTCCGGTAGTTGCAGATGTTTTTCCAGCGTCTTAGGAGGGGTCCACGTTGATGGTGGTTGGGAGTCTTGTCTGGGGGTCCCCTGTCCTTCCCACGACCATCCAATCACTTCCCCTTCTTTCTCTCCTGGTGTGTCGATGTGCACCCATCCCTCATAACTCGGGTCGACTGTACGCCACCATGATTCCACAAAAGGGTCCTTCCTCAGTTTTCCTGTGGGTTTTGTCGTGCGTGAAGGGTGGCGGGCGCAGACAGTGTCTGTGTATAAGTGACCATAGGCCTAACATTTGAAACACCAGGGGCAATGCTTGTGAGCAGTGTGTATTCGGTACACTTTTTCGCCTATACAGAACGGGATGACATCATCAATTGTGAAGATCTGACCCTTTGCTAGGTTAATGGCTAGCATGAGGTAATCGTCTCGTCGTGCAACATGGGGGGGAAGGGGGTCAATGAAGTCTGCAACGTCATATTTCTCCGCAAAGTCTTGTACAAATGCTGCTTGTATCTCGATCGGGATATGAAGAAACTCGGCCCAAAAGTGCTCCCTCATCATCTGTCCCCTCCGTTCCTCAGGCCTCTGTGGTTTTGGAGGGACCCATAGGTAGATACGGACTTCCGATCTCTCACAACATAGCGATTTCCATCCATCCATTGTTTTTTATCAGAATCGGGTACGCAGATAACAGTGATGACTGATGACGAGGCAGGTTGTATCAGGAAGAGGTCGCTTGCTTCCTCTGGAGAACCCTTAAAAGTTGTTAGCCGATCCCTGATTCAACCCACCTTGTCATTCGTTGATTTAAAGGCAGCATCATTGTCGAATGCCCAGCTACTCGAGTGGCGAGTGTACAGGGAATCTCTCACCTTGATTGCTTCCCCAGGGAGTGCTTTGACTATGGTAGACCTGCCGCCTTGGTGTAAGATCTTGTTTTCTGAGGCGCCCAGGAGACAGGTCAGGAAGAAAGCCCTGGTTGTTGTTAGGTTTCCCAGGGGAAATCTCCATTCCTCTCCTTTTTCATCAATAACTCCTTCCTTCTTTCGTTGGATTGAGATGGTCTCGCGGTCAAAAGGTCTCCCCACCCTTTCTGCCCACGATGCCGAGCTGGTTGGCACTTCCTTCTGCCTTTCCCTTGTGCCCTCCACCTCTTTACTTCGATCCCTTGTCCTTTCTCCCATGCTTCCCTGCCAAGGTGTAGATTCTGTTTGGCGATTCTGGGTGTGTTCCCGTTCTTTCCCCTCCCTTCAGGGTTCTCTTCCCTCCCAGGAGCTGGTGGTGGGCAAGGTTCCTCGCCACCCCTTTGTACATAAGCATGGAGTCCAGTTTCCTATGCACCCTTTGATATCGCTCCTTTCGCTTAGGAGTCACCATGATGATTGGTTGATGTTGGATTATCTGTGCCCATGCAGCGAGGCGCTCAATTATCAGTGCCCGTGCTACGAGGAGCTCTTCGAATGCAAGGTGGGGAGATGGCCCAGATTAATCTGCTGGGGTCGGGATGGGGGCGAGAGAGAGAGTCTCAGTAAGATCAGGGTAGGCCGGCATAAGGATGGGGGTAGGCCGGAGAAGGGGTAGGCCGGGGTCGGGGTAGGCCGGAAGAGGGACTGGGCGGGCAAGTCTGGAAAGGGAATGGGTCGCAGGTTCGGGTGATGAGTCGGGATCGGGGTCAGAAGCGAGAGGTCGGGTCGGGACCGGGGTCAGTGACAGGATAGGGATGTAGGTCGGGATAGGGGCGATGAGACGGGTGAGGGGAAGGGGGATCGGGTGGATCAAGGGGAGGAGGTCGGGGTTGAGATGACTTAGAAGTACGGGGTAGGATCGGGCGGAAGGATCACAGGGAGGAGCGAGAGAACGGGTTGGGGTAGGAGTGGGAGAGACGGGTCGGGATCGGGGTACAAGTCGGGATGGGAGGCGGCACAACGAACAGCGAGCGGGGACAGGTCAGGGTCGGGATTGGGGCCAGGTCAGGATGAGGTAGGGGAGGCGCGAGCGGGTCGGGGACAGGGTAGATAGGGTAGATAGTCGGGGTGACAGCGAGACTGGATTCAACGGCGAGGGGGCGGGTCGGGACAGGATCGGGAATGAAGGGTCGGGATCGGGATCGGGGTAGGTAGGGATAATGCGCGGGTCGGGATAGGGCGAGAAGACGGGTCCGGATGACTTAGATCGGAGGTGATGGGTCGGGGGATTAGGATCAGGGGGGTGGGGTACGAGGGGGCGGGTCGGGATAGGATCGGGAATGAAGGGTCGGGATCGGGATCGGGGACAGGGCGAGACGACGGGTCGGGATGACTTAGCTCGGAGGGAGGGGCGAGGGAATAAGTTGGGGTAGGAGTGGGAGGGGGCGGGTCGGGACAGGATCGGGAATGAAGGGTCGGGATCAGGATCGGGGTAGGCAGGGATAAGGTGCGGGTCGGGCCAGGGCGAGAAGACGGGTCACGATGACTTAGATCGGAGGTGATGGGTCAGGACTAGGATCAGGGGGGTGGGGTACGAGGGGGTGGGTCGAGATAGAATCGGGAATGAAGGGTCAGGATCGGGATCGGGGACAGGGCGAGAAGACGGGTCGGGATGACTTAGATCGGAGGTGATGGGTCGGCACTAGGATCAGCGGGATTGGAAGGATCGCGGGGAGGGGCGCGAGGACAGGTTGGGGTAGGATCTGGAAGAAAGGGTCGGGATCGGGATCTCGGTAGGTAGGGATAAGGCGCAGGGCGGGATCGGGGTATGAGGTGGGTCGGGGGGCAGGGGCTAGGATGCCGTGGCAGGTCGGCACGGGATGCGGATTGGGGGGCAAGAGAGTGGGTCGGGGGGAAGACAGGTCGGGATCGGTGTAGATAGAGAAGCCGCTGATACTTGCCCCGACCTGACGATCTGTCTTTGGCGTTGTCGTTCGTTTGTAGGCGATGATGCTCGTTCATCGTCTGTAAGTCTTTTCGTTGTTGCAGGCAGTCTATCAACCCAGCTCCCCCACTGTGTTGATTTCTCAACGCGGGGCCCCAAGGGGAGTGGAGCTATACAACGCCATTCGTCGGCTTCTAGCGCCTGCTTCCGTCGTGGTAAAGGTATACTCCGCGTGCGCCGCTTCTTACCTGCTGCTGCGGTTCTTCACCCTTAGCTACGGAACTCCCGCTGGCATAAGCTGCATATTCTTCGACCTTGGCTATGGTTTCCGCTTGTACCGATTCCTCCCCCCTAGCCAACCTTCTTCCTACCTCCTTCTGTTACTTCCAGCCATCGTCCCTAGCCCTCCTCCTTGCTACCTCCTTCCGAGATCGTTCCTGGAAGGCGTTTCGCGCACCTGTCGACACAAGCCCGCTGTGCCCTGTGCGCTAAGCTGACGCCCCCACAACACACACCGCCGTGGCGTATGCACTCAAAACTCCACTTTGTAGAAAACTTGCACCGCGGAGTTTGCAACTACAGGTCAGTCAGGCACACGGCGTGTCTTTTTTTTTTTTAATCTCCGGTGTGGCTGAGGCATCTCGGCCCTGGCCGGGCTGGCCCAGCCACACGTCGACATGCACTTTTTTTTTTTTTTTTATCTTGGGTGCACTTTTTTTGTTTTTTTATCTTAAGTGTGGCCAAGGTATTTCGGTCGTGGCCCAACCACGCGACGAGATCCTATTTCTTTTTGAGACAACTGCGCCTGTGACCGCTGCACAGTTCAGAATTCGCTGAATTAACACTCCACTGCAAGCTTGGCCGAAGACCAGTTAGAAACTGCAAGAAAAACAGTGAATCATGCTTTCAATGGCCTACGGGTTCAATAATTGGCAAAAATGGGAGGTGGCGGTAGTGCCCGTACCCGTTCAATAATTGGCAAAAAGGGAGGTGGCGGTAGTGGTACCGCTCTTTTTCCCGTGGCCTGGCCTGGCCTGGGAGCAGTTACCATTGGCAGGCCTTCACATTTTTGGCTCGTTTCCCCAGGGGTGTGGCCTAGGCATTTCGTCCGTGCCCTAGGCATCTCGGCCGTGGCCTAGCCACGGGCGTGGTTAAGACATCTTGGCCATGGCCCAGCCACAGGTGTGGCCTAGACAGCTCGGCCGTGGAATAAGCAGGCGCAGAACAAGAAAGAAAGAAAAAAAAAAGAGAAAACTACGGCGCAGTCAGGGTTTGAGTTTGTAATTGCACTTTAGGCAAAAGGTCAGGTAATGCTGAATGTATATGACCTACGTTTTGGGTCCGGTGGGGTCGCGTGGGGGTGTGTTGTATTGCCTGAAGTGCAATTACAAACTGTTTTCGTGACTGCGCCGAAGTTACCCCCCAAAAAAAAAAA